TATTAGACTGTCTGGTGCCCTAACCAGACTATAAATTCTCCAAGAGGAGAGAGAAGATAGCATCTGTTTCTGTATCTCTAGATTTGGGTATGTAGATCATTATTTGCCAAATAATGAATGCTCAATTAATGTTTGTTGAACTGGACAAAACATTAAATGCCAAGATCTTTCCAAGTTTCTCAGCAGGACATGGTTCAGATTATACTGTCAATGAGCAAGTGGCAGCCCTTCCTAAATCTCCAAGGGAATGAAGCAATTTAGCGACTGTCATGATGGAGTCCTACTAAAGAAAGACTGAATGCCAGGACACACCATAAGAAGTCCCGACACATCTGTACTAGACTGCGGCCAAGCATACCACCCTCAAAGGACAGCAGATTAGCACTCTCTTTCAGATACCCTTAACTAAAAGCTAGAAGTGATTTCATGACTATAGAGCTGTGTTTTTAGAGCACAAGATCACATCATGAGCACCATCTGGGGAAGGAAAGTCATTCGGCCATTTTTATAGCTAGTTCAGAAAAAAGAAAGGTATCTTGAGTTTTAGCAGACTGCATTTCCAGTGGGTAATCATTTTCCCCTTAACCTGTAGTCTAATTAAATGATTATATTAAAATTAAAATTGTTATGACTCAAATGCAACTATTCATTCATTTCTATAGTAATCAATGAGAAAAAATGCACCCTTTCTAGATTGTTCTATTCTAACAGATATTTCTACTCCTTTACTATAAAATATTTTTTCTAAATTTAACAAAGTTCATTAATTTTCACATTTCTTATCAAAATTATTTGAGGATACTGTTTATCTATGAACATTAGCTTAAGATAAGTCTTTAAAAAATACAGATTTAGAATAATAAATAGGTCAGAGTTCCTCAAAACAGATGAAAAGAATTATGTCAGTGAGCCAACTGCTCTGCTCTTGAGGCATTAGTACCCTTACACACAACCTCAGGTACACATCAGTGTGTACAATGGTAGCAAGATTCAGTTCTTTTAGATTCATATGCATCAAGTTAGAGCTGTGCACTAACTTGCCCTTGAGATAATTAAGGTGAGAAAAAAACTAGTCACACCTTTTTTCATTTATGCAAGCAATTCCACCACCTACAATCAAAGTTAAAATTATTTCTGTTTGTAATGAACTTTAATCAGGTTTCTGCTTCCCTTAATCATGAAGGTCAAAATAAAGAGCGAACAAAGTGAAGTAACACTAGCTACTTTCTTGAGAAAATTCGACTCCTTAAAAGGTATTTTCAGGCTGAGCATGGTTGCACATGCTTTATTCAGTGACCAGGGTCAATTCAGTTCAGATGTTGACTCAAAGACAAGTTAAGTCCTAGTTGTTTTCAAGCTTGCAGAATAAACCTTCAAGTGAGCTACATAGTCTGAAGAAGGTGCTTCCTGACTCTTGAGCCATCGAATACTTTTCCCTATTCTCAAGTGCTTTTTAGTATCTTCTCTCTCCTCCTGCTGCTGCTCCTCTACCCTCCTCCTCCTGCTCCCACAGATCTCCTTGTCTTTCATCAGTAACTAATTACCTGCTTCTATTCTCCAATGTCTCTTTATATTACTTTGCTTCTATTTTCTTACTGCTTCTTTATGCTTTTTTAAAAATTTAGTTTTGGGGGGCGGGAGAGATGGCTCAGCAGTTAAGAGCACTGACTGCTCTTGCAGAGGACCCGGGTTCGATACCCAGCACCCACATGGCGGCTATGAGCCATCCTTAACTCCAGTTCCAGGGAATCCGAAGCCCTCTTCTGACCTCCATAGCATTGCACAACATGGGTGCACTCACATGCATGCAGGCAATACACTCGCTCGTACACATAAAACAAAAATAATAAATATTTAAAATTTTTTTTAAAATTTAAAAATTCAGTTTTCTTAACATTCAAGATTTTAATTAACTTATGATCTATAGCCAAGGCCAGACATGGTCCTGTCCTATGTACCTTCTTCATGTTGGAAACAGAATCTATAAATTAACAGTTGTAATCAGCTGTAAATCATTGTAAAACTATGAATTCACACACATTATCAAATAAAGATTTTATTATTTTGGTTGGTTGGTTTTTTTTTAATTTCTTATTGAATTTTTGTGTATTTTATAAATCCTCTATGCATAGCTAGACGTCTCATTACCTATAAGAAATAACTGTTTTTTAATTTCACTATTATTACTCACCAATCAATGAAAATGATGTGTTTGGGGGGGCTAGCTAGTGGGGGTTTTTTGTTTGTTTTGTTTTGTTTTTTTCAAAAGGGTCTCCCTGTAGCCCCAGCTGCCCTGGAACTAACTATGTAGACCAGGCTGGCCTCAATCTCATAGAGATCTACCTGCCTCTGCCTCTTGAGTGCTGGGATTAAAGGCATGTGCTACTACCCCTGGCTTCGATAGCCAATCTGACAAAAACTCCCAATGAGGCAATGAGAACCTCAGTCTTCTGAGTTCTGCCTCTAGATGCGTATAGAGTGCTCCTTTACTGTCAACAACTGCATGTGGTTAGAGGATACAGGGGAGATGACTACTAATCCAGATGCTTAAGGCTGTACATACATATTTATGAGATACCACAAAGGTTTGGTCTTTAACAATGCTGGCACTATACAATGAGGAAACCATGTCATATGTAGTCTAAAAGAAAAACACACCCTAAGTATTACAAACAATTTATTATAAAAATGAGAACCTTAGGGGCTGGAGCAATGGCTCAGTGGTTAAGAGCACTGGCTGCTCTTACAGAGGGCCTGAGTTTGATTCCCAGCACCCACATGGTGGCTAACAACCATCCATAACTTCAGTTCCAGAAGATCTGATGCCCTCTTCTGACCTCCATGGGCATTGCACGACACAGGTGCACTTACATATATGCAGGTAGTATACTCATACACATAAAAATTCTTTCAAAAGAGAACCTTAGTTTAAATGGGAGTTCTACACATATAAAAGCTCTGTTTATATACAAGGGAAAAAATGAGAGAGGATACTAAAAACCATTTCAAAATCAATATTTTTATTTCAAATGTTGGATATCTACTTCTTAAATTTTTATTTTAAAGTAAATTTAAACTTATAGGAAAATTACAGAACACAAATGTACAAAAAGTTTCAATTTTACCTTCACCTAGATAACTTCAGAGCTACCACTGCAGCATATTTTTGGCTCCATTCTATTCACCATATATATATGCACACAAACACACTTATCAATTTTGTTTTTCTACATGATTTGAGAGCAAGCTGCAGACACGATGTTCCATACTTTTTTTAAAATTTATTTATTATTGTTATTTTATGTGTATTCATGTATTGCCTGCATGTAGGTAAGTGCACCCATGTTGTGCAATGCCCACGGAGGACAGAAGAGGCCATCGGATCCCCTGGAACTGGAGTTATGGCCCTCAACCTAGGACTACACTATATTTCTTCACACTCACACTCACACCCTCAGCTCTTAGCAGGAATTCCCGAGAAATGATGCTTTCTTCTCAGCATATCTTAAGAGGCATACATAATCAGTGTCAAATTGCTCAGCCTAGCCAAGTTGATGATGAGTGTAAAAACACCACTTTCCTATTCTGTAGTCAACTGTAGTATTTTCAGGGAGATACTCAGAGAGTACATCAATATCTGATTCATTATAGAAAGTTCACATACCAGCTTTAAAATGTCCTTTGGTGATAGCTTTGTAAATCAATCATCTATTTGATGGTTGCCAAATAATGATCTTTTTTTTCTATTTATACAATTTCTTTCATATTTATTAGTGAGAATTCTGCACTAACAAAAGTTTTTTGCTCATCCTCCATATTTTAAAAATTTGTTTTATCAGTATGGGCTCATGGATTCCTGTTTTATGAAATGGGTTATAATAATTACTACTTATTTTTAATGCTCAAATCATCAATCTGGCTCTTCTGTCATTTTGATATGACAGTATCAATTTTTGAACCTGTCCTTGAATGTCTTGAATGTTTCTTGAGACAATCTTCAGTTCAGCCCTACTTCTAAGAATTAGATTCCTTTTCATGGCGTGACATTTAGATGTCAATGTCCAGGCACTTGGTTACAATCAAAGTTTTTAGGCTTTCTTAGGACACAGAACTAGAAAATACATGAATATATACACACATACTATTTTATTACTATATCTATGTATTCCTATATAATTATGGAACCCTGTCCCTCAGGCATGACATGGCCATTACCATCTTGAAATCAGGTTAGTTGTGATTACCCACAAGAGACTCTTTCAGGAATTGGCCCATTAACATTCCTTCATAGAAGGGAGGGCAGGTTCACGAAGCAGTATACAAGCCCTCTCACAAGGCAGCACACAAGGTGCTCATCAATCAGTACACTACACCCACGAGGCCCCACTCCTCTCTGAGTATATATAATGGAGTAGTGGGGGATAGGGGATCTTCTTTCGCAGTGTAGCCACTTGTAAGCTGTCCAGGCTCCTGTAAGTAAGCTCAGTTAAACTCACTGGTTCACTCAATTAGACTCGGTTGGAATCATTTCATTAGTCTGTTGTTTGTGCCCTCTCTGGGGCAAGTAAACATTCGTTCACATCTTCCCAGGAAAAGTTAACACTGATACAGACACTGAAGAAACATGATTGGTAATGTTATCTCCAGTCCAATCCAACACCTCAGGGTCCCTTCTTTTCCTTCCTTTTTCCATGTTTATAAAGCCCTTCTCCAGTAGTGAGCAGTGAAACTCTCATCACCATCAATTTATTCACTCTTTCATTCAATGAAATCTGCTTATCTGTTCAGCCACACCAACCCTTGGATCTCGCTTCCCCACTTGTTTTCTTGTAACCGACATGCAATGCCCCTAAGCCCGTAAGAAAAGAGAAGGGAAGGCAAAAGAAAGAAGAAAGATGGAGAAAGAAAATAGAGACAGCGAGAGAAAGGAGAAATGGAAATGAGGAGAAAATGAAGTGAAGGGGGGAGGGGGAGAAGGG